TAAACTTGGCAGTCCTAGGGTAAACAGTTGGACTTGATGATCTTAAAGGTCTTTTCCAACCTGCTTGATTTTGTGAATTCACTCAATGTAGTTTGTTTGAAAGGTTAAGCAGGATGCTAAGATGGACTCTGTACGCCACAAAGTGAAGAGGCAAATAAAGAAGGCATTTAGAGTCACTTTGTCTTTAAAACATAGTGGCACTTTTTCACTAGCTAAAATACTGTTCAAGTCTGGCAGCTGTGCTCTAATACGTAGCTGCAGCGACCTCTGTGCTTTACCTATGAATTGCCATCAAAGCACAGAGTAAAGCTTAGTTGTTCACCAGGCAAATGTCTGCTTCTGCTAATATGAAGAAAATCAGCCATAATAGGAGTCCGAGAGCATTTGCTGGATGCAAAAAAACCCTCTGCAATTATCACTTAATTGTCCTTCACGGGCCAATACTGAGAGTCTCATACTTTCCCGTTAAGGTTGCTCACTCCTTCAGCACTTTTTCTTAACTGGCTACTTAATTAGTCTTCCTTCCTAGGCTTAATTGTAAATTTGTTTTGATTAATTAGCCTCAGAGCTGACTTGACACTAACTTTAATATAGGAGAAGTGCTTAGCTTCTCCAGCACGCATGTAGGCTACTGCATCCTAGGGGAGCCCCCTCTTTGTCAGCAATAAAATTTCAAGTTCAAATTGTGTTTGAAAAAAACCCTTCATCATTAACTTTCATTTCTTGTAATTGCCCCTTCCAAACTACAACACAAAAGTGATATTAACATAAAGAAAGGATAAAACCCAGGAAGTTCAGGACTCTTGTTCAGTGGATTATACATCATGTTCATTAGCTGAATCCTGCAGTTCTAGATAGGATGACATAATGCTCCTAAACACAAGTGATCATAAAACAACTAGAATCCCCAATCACAAGTGCGGCACAGACAGCCGTATTCTCATGGTACCAACATCAGAGGGGTTTCCCTTACTGACTGGAGAAGGCTATGTTATGCTTTTCCAAGTTACTGAATTCTATTGAAAATCCTTTGCACAACCTAGACAAGCCAGTCTGCAGCACCCTTAGACACTACTATTGCCCTTCATTATGTTTACACCTCCCATCTCAGTCCTTTCCTCACCATCTTTCCTTTCATCTCCATCTTTACAGTACCTTGATTCCAGAAGACGCCTGCACACAACACTGCCATGCAGCTGCCGTCTTGATCAATTCTAATTTCAGCCACTGTTGCCTTTTCCTGTGTTTTCAGTAACTTCAAACACCATGACCATGAAAAAAAGTTAGTAAACTAAACAGAATAATGTGTGTTAACATCCACTGCACCCATTCAATAAACTTCCTAAATAATCATCAAGAGCACTGCAATCCTTCAATTTTCAAATTTAGAAGTCCTTACCTATCAAGCTGGAAAGATAAATTAGAAACCTTACCCTGGACATTAATATGCTTTTCTGTAGACACTTTTAAGATGTGCATCTCAACTGAACAGTCAGACTGAGAAAGCAAATATTTTGCTACTTTCAGCTTCCTGTTTCAATTATTACCCCTCTGGTACTCCAACCATGAAAAAAAACTGCAAAGTGCAAAGTAAAGGTGGTTTTACTACCTTTTGTGTGCACCTTTACTTGGGCACAGGAGTTTAAGCAAATCAAACCAGGAGCTTTGTGGATGAGCTGAAGAATGCAGAGCAGCTCTGCATGCATGCTTTTTAGTGTATTCATTCCTTAATAATCTTGCAGCCAACTGGTTTGACTGATGATCAACTACTGTTTTCATCTTAGAACTGGACCATAGGATCACTCTGGTTGGCAAATCCTAAATGAAGCTTTTCCATGCAACCTGAGAAAGGCTTGGCTTCAAGATCTCTTCTGGAGAGAAAACGTACCAGCTTGGAAAGACTAAGATACTGAGTTACGACAGCCGTCAATATCATTAGAGTCATATTCAATATTCTTCAGTTAGAAGTATTACCTGCAATCAATCACCAATTCAAGTAAATCCTGTATTACAAAAGACATTATGCAGAGTCTATACATCAGCAGAAGTGCAGGAAATATTCCTTCATGCTGAAATGCCTTTTCAGCTGTTGTGAAATGAGGAAAGAGCTCTTTAAGTTTACTGCATTCACCAAATGTTAATTTAAAATCCTCTGCAGGTAAGCAATTCAATACTTGAAACCAGAAGAAATTGTGTATGTGTTTCAGTTTGCTTTAGAAATGCTATTTATTTTTCTGTAATTACTGAGCTCATATTCTCGTATTTTATGTTTACAAAGTTGTATAAGTACATATGTGCATATATATCTGACAGTTTTGCAACCACTCTTCTGCTACTTTAAACTGCAAAAAACCTTTGTGTAATAGAACAGGAACAGCTAACCAAATGAAACTACAAAAAGGTTTTCAAAAGAACCTACTAACCAGTATATTTTGGGGTTTGATTTTTTGTGGGCTTTTTTGTTGTTTTTTTTGCTTAGCTTTTTTTTTTTTTTTTCTTCAAAGGGAGGCAAAACCTTCAAAAATCTGACTTTTTATTCCGGTGAGACATTTTCAATTGTTCTCCTTAAAATAAGCCTCTAGTTCTTACCATAATACCTACCACAGAAGACCTAGGCCTACTAACATGAAGTTGATGAAACATATTTTTGTTTCCAGCTCTTTCAATTACTGCTGACAGAAACCAGTGATCCCCTCGAGGAGCAGCATGAGTACCACACAGGCAACAGGAAAGGCCAGCAAGTCTCTTTCACAACAACGATCGCAGCTTCACTCCACAGCAGGTAATGCTGGCTAACCAACTTTGGCCTAGTTTAACACAAACCTTACTCAACAAAATAAAAAATTTACTGATAAAAAGAATCATGCATATACATAAGCCTTCAGAGGAGGCTTTTTTTCTTTCTTTGCAATATCCTATTTGGTAAAGACAAAAAATTAAACTACCAAAGGTTACCCACAACTACTAGTAGCAACAGCATAGAAAGCAGGAGACAAAGCAAGTCCAGGTAGAGGTGAAACATCAACAGTTTCTTCTAACAACTGGTTCTTGCTTGCCACACTGCACAACTCAGCACCCGTGTCCTGGAACCCAGAACATTCTTCTGCACTTCTTCACACTGTATTCAGACTAATGACACAGGACCAAGTTTTTTTACAAGTGTCAAGTTTAATTATAAAACTGAAACGCAATCCAGACAAATGGTGAGCAACCTAGCTCAACTCAACTCCCGTTGTATACAGGGATGTTTTAGAAGACAACTTTGAGCAAGTGGCTACAAGTAGTAGAACATACATGCTAACAATTGTAGAACATACATGCTAACAATTTTAGAACAAATTTAACAAGGTTTAGTGCCAAGTCCTAATGTATGATTTTTGTCTTCTTGCAACAGAACTCAACTGAATTTATCTCCACCTATAACACGTTCTTCCTCCTCTCTTTCAAAAAACAAACCCAACTTAACATACATGCACACCGAAGTACAAACGGCTGAGCTTAAAGCTCCATCTAGTGACAAATTGTGGAATTGGTGCTAAAGCAACATCCAACGTAACATCACCACATCTGGCAGAACTGATTTTGCTGCTTTTACTGAAAAAGAAACCCCACTTTGAGATTTGTTCCGACTACAAAATGCTGTCTGCAAACTATACACGGCATTTCTCTCAAGAAACCGATGAGCCAGGCAGTAACAAAACCATCTGCCAAAAAAAGTTACGAGCTTTACCAAAACCACTTTATTCTGTTGACACTCTCAGCCATTAACATTAGGAAAACACAGAGAAGCACTCATGGCATGCTGACCTCAAACCTGCCCTTGAACATCTGCCACTTCCAGCCTGTATCAGGAAAAGGTCCGCACACATGTTACTTCTACTTAAGAAAATACCCTGAAAAGATGTAGTTCTCATCATTTACTCATGACCCAAAAGAAAACACACTCAAAACCTTCCTGCCAAATTGCAGTATAGTGCAGTGGGGGAAGAGACATCAGTACTCTATAAAACAAAGGCAGTGTATCACCTCTCATCTGAGCCCACTGAACTACAACACACTGCTAGAGCAGCAAACTGCCTTGAGCTCCACCACAACATACATATACACCTTCTAGAGCCATGAGCTCCATACATGTTCCCTAACCCCTTAAGCACATAACCCTCTGCTATCTAGTATGTAGACAGGTAATGCAGAAGAAAATTTGCAGGGTAACTCCCCGGCCTTTAACACAACTGAAAAGTAGTCTTGTTCTGACCTTCATGTGAATCAATGAGATGTCTGGCTTAAAGACCAGCACATCCATGCCCTGAAAGGTAGAAGACAGGCTTGGGTGAAAAGCAGAGGATATTTGGCCTAACAGTACTGTTTTCAAATGGCAAATTTCCAGACCTCTGCAAGCCTGAGGAGCTGAAAGACTTAAACTAAAATGTTTTAGTGCTTAGGATCCCCTCAAGCAGTGGAAACAGCCTGTGTGCCCATCTGGTAGCTGGTATGGCTCCAACACAGAAGGGACAGTATTTGAAGCTTGCTAAACTTGAAAAGAGCAACCCAAGCCCAAAATTTAGAAAATTCGCAACCATCAAATTATCAGCTGTAACTTAATGTCTTTTTTAATTATAATTTCAACTTTTAAACTGCTTATGAAAGTTGAGGCTGGGAAAAAAAAGGAAGACCCTTTTGTGCAGTCTGAACTTTGGAAGCAAAGAGTTCATATCGAGACAGAACTCAATGGCAATAGGCATGTTCCTCTTTCACATTCTCGGAGTTTAGCCATGAATGCAAAGATGCCACATAACTTCTACTAAGTATTTCCACTGTTGGTCTATATACACACTACTCATAGGAGCATACTGCTTGAAAGAGTATGCTAAAAAAAAACAACCAACACCTCAAGCTCCCCAGTCTAAAGGGGATCCTGGATGTATCATTATCTTGGTGTCTGAGCCCTTTCACAGACATAGGAAGTAGCTGGCAGCTGAAAGCTTAAGAGAAGCACTAAAGCCAATCCGTCTTTTCTACTTTAATGTATACTTAAGATATAGCATAAAGATCATGGCCAAGGCTGTTTGCACTCAATCCTGAAGTCCTTAAAGTTTACAATTCCTTTTCAATTTTCCTTATCTCTTTCTCTTCTAGAATACCAGCGACCACTGAGAGAAAGTATCCTACCAGAATAGCTGCAGTTTATCCTTATCTTCAGCCAGAAGGAACCTGAAAGAGCTTGGGAGACAAACGCTGTGTACACCATCTGCTGTCTAGACTTGGCTTCTGGAGTATACAGTATAATTACAGTTTTCCCACAGGTCCTCATTATTATCCAGGAACACAGCAAGCAAAACAAAAGGAGATATTAAAGTAATACATTTGGCAATGACTTATCCATGCTACACAAAATAAAGCTATCCACAGTGCTCAGAGCTAATCAAGCCATAGCTTCCATGTGAAAGATACAACTGATAAGCTCCTACTTAAGAGCTCACATTTTACAGTTTGAGGCACTAACCACACATCTGCTAAACAAGGAAGAAACACGTCATTAACACAGCAGAAGGTGGCTGCACCCCAGCACCCAAGATTCCAGCAACCCATCACCTAGACAAGAACGTGAACAGCATGGTCCTACATTTAAACAGAGATTATTCTGAACAGTTTGTAACAAACAGACATTAAGACTACCAAAAGTTAGCTGAAGATGTCAAAATTTTTTCTAGTGCTAAGCATCTTTAGAGGAGATGAGGCATACAATCTGGATCACCAACGTGCTTTACCAACATATTTTACATGTACATCTTTCTGTCTTTGGATAACACAAGAACAGTAACTAATGCAGAGTGAAGCCTCTCAGTATGCCACTCCTGTTCATTCGCCAACTACTGAGGTTCTTTTGGTTTTGTTCTTAACTCTTCCATTAATTTCAGCTGCTTTGCATCAATTTGAAATGTTAAGCTGGGTGCACTCAATCACTTTTTGTATGTAAAAGGAACTTGGAAACGTACAAAAGCTTTACAAGTGTTTCAGCAAATTTTTCTTCAGTAAGTTCTTCACCTGTCTCGTTTGAGTTGTGTGAAGAGAAGAACACTTTCTTTATTCAGAAGGTTACGTATGCTATATCCATTTCCTACAAATAAAAACAGAGACAGTTTTCTTTAGAAGCCAGTAGTAATTTTTGAAGTCCTCTCTTAAGACAAATGTATTTCTATTTCACATATTTTAACAGAAGGAATATAAGCCCCTACTCTAGAACACCACTCTTACAGGCATTTCATTGCATTTCAAAGAGATAAAAAGCAATATAGCTAGTTTCATTTATTTTAACCTGTGCTAAGAATAAAGTGCACCATTGCTGAGAAGATTTTTACTGAAAAGAATGTAACAGGCTTGAGCTCTCACCTCTTGAAACTCACAAGAAAATTTTCAGGTGACTGAATTAACCTTCATTTATTCCTACATAAAATCTCCATAAAACCCATACAAGAACTGCAGATCTTCACTCACAGATTTGCATACTAACACAACCACAAATATGGAAACATCTAAAAGGCATTGAATGTCAGGACTAATCGACATCCTAACATTTGTCTACAGCCACACTTGATGAAATTACAAAGAGAAGACCTTCCACAACCAATGCATCGCCTATCCAGGCAATATGAGACAGGCCATCAAGAAGCAGGTAAGAACAGAAATGAAGTATAGATCCTTATGGCCCCACAGAACTTTCAGCAGTTTTTATAATCTGCTTTTGCAAAGAGCAAACCACAAAATTGTCTCTGCAGACCCCTATACTTTTAGAATTAAAACAAAGAGAAAACAGTTTCAAAGCATCAAATATTATTTGGACAATGTTCAATCAGGATGTTCTGGTGAAAAGTTAATGGAAAACAAGTGGTACCTTGTCATTTTCTAACATAGCTTCTTCACAAGAAAGCTGTACAAAAGCTCTCTACAGCTCCATGAACTGCCTGCTTTACAACTACTACAGACTCTCCTGACTTGCATCTTACCCACTGAAGAACAATCTCCCATATGGAGGAATTCATTCTACTTTTATCTCAGAAGGGCAAAATCACTGTCTAAATTCTCAACAACCCATATGGAGTTACAACCAGTTCAACTAGACATTCTGCATCTTTTACGTATCAAACATAAAGCGCAAAAGGTGGTGAACTGGTCCAAATACATTTTCACAATTATATGTAGAAAAAAAACAGCCAACACATAGCAACCAAAACAATTACATTAGCTACCACTATATATTAAGCTGTCTTTAAAGCTTCCCCAACACTACCGTTTAGGGACAGCACCAGAATACCAAGAGAAATTCATTCTTAGAACTTGGTAGTATCATAAATAACTCTGAAGCCAACTTATACACACGAGCAGTGTTTGTATCACTGCATTCATATCCAGTCTTGGGTCACATTCCTGTCTTCACACCCTATGTTTTTCCACTCTCTACTCAAAGGTACCTTTTCTCATAATTCAGCTCCATTTTGCTCAGCAGCTTGCTAACTGAGTCTCATCTATGTCCAATAGCTTGGTTTTAAACACATGTACGTACCTGCTGGAACATAGAAAAAGTCCCCTGTAGTCAGATAATATGTTGTCTTATGTAAGGTAACAAGAAGTTTGCCACAGATAATATGGAAAGCCTTAATGAAAGCCAAACAGTTTTAAAGTTAGCAATGTTTCTTCTGCAAATATTTAAGAAAGTTATCCAAGAAAATCAGATAAGCTAGATACTTCTATCTTAACTGCAAGATCCAGAAGTATTCATTGACATACAGATTTAATGTGAAGCAAAGCAGGGAAACATGCATGCAGAGTGCCTATAACAAGTTCCTTTCGTTATAACTGATTTCACAGCTGAAATGATTCATTAATGTTTTCTATATTAATTTGCATTATAGTGGGAGAAAACCCCAAAAAACCTACCGATGTTGCACTTCTGACCAAAGATTTTATGTTTACATAGTCCATTTTATAAAAATCAGAAAAAGTCATACTTACTATTGTATCCATGTGGACAAACTGATGTCCCTTTTCTTTTAATGGTTTCAAAATCAGTTTACCAGTGGCAAAAGCAGTTGTATTCAAATTTTTATATACTTCTACCGTTTCATCTCTGAAGAAGCATGCGTTACTGCCTTCAGTGTTAACACATTCTACAAGAAGGTCCAGGAGATGAACATTAATATTAATGCATAATTAGTCTTGTTAGTAGCTCAGTAACTACTTATTAAACCCTACAGATTACATATTGTTTCAGTGCAACACCCCCCAAGAGCTAGACTCAGTATTTAGATGAAAAATCAGGATGGCTTTTTGTCTCTCCCTCAGAATTTTCTCCAGAAGAGCAACAAGTATTTCAACAGCTCACCCTTTTATGCCCGATGTGGCATGAACAGTTCTTCTCCTTATCAGTCTAAATACTTATTACAGAATTCAGATAGGCTCTTCGTCACACCCCTTCAACTCACCTAGAAGTACTTCCTGATTTGTTACCGGGTCCACTACAACAGCTGGCTTGGAAGGATCAGCTAGGCTGTGACCCACATTTGGAGGTCTCTCACTTCCTGAGAAAAAACAAAACCCCACCATTAACAAAAAACACAAAAATAATCACTCTACATTTTAAAAATTTGATTACTTAACCACAACTTTTATACAACTTTGGATTTCACACATAAGTACTTAAAGTAACTAAACAGACTGAATACACTTTTTTGAAATAAAGAGAAACTTTCTTTAACAATTCTCTGAAAATGTAGTTTCCATTGGAATTATTTTTGTGCGTAATAGATAAAGGGTATCTAAAATCCTAAAGAATTTTCCAGGGGAATGACACGTATATATCCTATGCTATTGATGACAGTATTTATTTAAAAGGATCTGTGTTTTAAGAGAAGTGCTCTTCTAGCAACAGATGCTGAGAGGATATAAAATAAGGGGTGTATGAAGAGCAAGTTTTTTCCTTTTACCTATTGCTGATGGGTGTCAGGAGACTTAAGACATAAAGCGTTCAAAAGAATAAGCACATGTTCAATTTTCCTTTTCTCAAGAAATGCCATTAAAGGAATCTCACTTGAAGCTGTAAATCAGAGAACTATTTCTATAATAAAAAGGATTTTTCTAGAGAAGGAAACAGCCTAAGAGTTGATGACAACCTTACACTTTTCAAATAGAAAAGAGATGCTGGAGAATGTTCACAACAGCATAAATATCCCAAAGCTCTCTTGCAGAGCTCTCTTAAGCAGACAATTTAAACTCCCTAGTGCACACGGAATGTCCTTAAATGCAGTCTGAACATGGATGTTAAAAGGCAGGCTTTAGCATTTTGTGACTGATATAGCACTCATGGTTGCTTAAATACTTATGCCACAACAGTCAGGGTAGGAGAAACATGTTTGAAATAGCTTTGTCCCAACATAACCATCTCTCTCTCAGAAGCAGCAACAGCTGCAACTCTCTATACACCTATAAACACAAAATTTTTATCATATCAATAAAATTTAGGAATATGTCCTAGAAATACTACTCAGCTGATGGTCATTACATGCATCAGTTAAAATTCAAGGATGCAAGCAAAAGATTACCTGTAAGTCTGTTAAAGAGGAAATCTACCACTTCTGGAAGACAGTTCAAACGCACCTAAAGCACCGTGTAAAATACAGCATGAACACTCACTACCAACTCAGGTTTACATGGGCTGCAAATGATTTGTATTAAAACATAGACTGTACTTAGAGAAAAGGCCGATCTAGACCAGGATCCCGTCTCCCATCAATGGCCAAAAGTACACCTCTTCCTTTGTAGTGCTAAAATGTTAAAGTTTCTACGAGATTACACAGCATTGTGATAAATACAATAAGAATAGTTTTTCCATATCATCACATTAATACATTTATTACCCAGAGAGATTCATTTTTTTTTTACAGCAGGAAAATCTTACAGCAATGGGAGTATTTTTTTTTTTAAGTATCCAAAGAAAAAACTCTGTATTCATATTTGTTTCCGTACTTCTTTCATCCTTTCTCTGCTTGTGACCATCCTTCCTCTGGTTAATGTTCCTGTCCGGTTCTGGTTCTGGACACACTATTCCACTAATCACAAGCCCTCCTGAAACAAAAGAAAGCTCATTAACTCATATTAATTTTTCAAGTATGCAGACTTGCACAACCAACATGCATTTCAGTTGAGAATATATTTCCTTGATGTTGAAATTTTCAGATGACTTTAGAAAGAAGGAACAAACCAGAAAGCTTTTCAATTTCAAGTATTTTGGAGTGCAATGCATCTTGAGATTTTTTTTAAAACAATTTGATCATATTTCAGTCAGAGAACATTCCAGAAATCCACGACATGAGAGTAATTTTTAAGACAAAACATTAATTTTAGGGACACAAAAAAAATTTTATTTTCAAGCAGACTGACTGATTAGGAAAGGACTAAAATAGGCTGAACTGTCAGAAAAAAAATAAAATCCCTGAGAACATCAGACCTATTCAGACCAGATCCTGAAGATCTATTCTAACACTCTGAGGAATTTAACACTGAGACCGGATAAAATACTGTAAAATCTACTCTGGAGAACAATCCCCACACAAAGGGAAATGATCCAATGAATGATCCAGTAGACTCCCTCTTTTTCCGATGACATACAGAATCTTTGAAATAATAAACCTACTAGCAGAGAGAAACGCTTTGTTCTTCTCTAAACAGTTACGGCAAGGTTGATAGCATTTCTAGCTGACACAGGAGTATCAGGAGAGAAAAAGGACTACACAGAAAGATGACTAAATAGCTGGAGACCATAAATGATCCACTTTCTAAAAAAAAAATCACCAGACATTAAGAACCTCAAGGCTTTCACAGCACAAGATCAATCCACAGATTTGTCTTTACTGCTCTATGGGGAGAAAGCAAACAGGTATTTTGGAAGCAGTACCTGAAGGCCTCATCGTATATTTCACACGCTCGCCTCGCCAATATTCCAGAGGTCTCAGTCGTAACCTTTTTGTCCGACGAACATTAGGTGTGTTGGAAGGCATTACTAATTTAAAGGATGAAATCATTTACATTAAGTATGAAAGGAAAATTGGGAAATGGAAAACATTACATATCCTTTCCTGTTGTTCCATACCAGGGGGTCAGCACGTCCCAGCTAATAATTATATCAAACTGCTATCATGACAGAAAAAGGGAATCAGCATTGCCAAAAGCATTCTTTTGCATACATCAATATTTATTCTCCTTTTTCTTAAAAGTCACCATGCTGCCTTCATATTAGATTTCATTCTATATATATTAGTGAATCTGAGATACGGACATTAGGGACTCAAGCACAAGTAGCAGCAAACATAGAATCATAGAATAGTTATGGTTGGAAAGTACCTTGAGATCATCAAGTTCCAATCCCCCTGCTATAGGCAGAGACACCTCACACTAAACCATGTCACCCAAGGCTCTGTCCAACCTGGCCTTGAACAATGCCAGGGATGGGGCATTTACAACCTCCCTGAGCAAGCCATTCCAGTGCCTCACCACCTCCACAGTAAACAACTTCCTCCTTATATCCAATCTAAACTTCCCCTGTTTAACACATTACCCCTTGTCCTATCACTACAGTCCCTAATGCAGAGTCAGTCCCTCCCCAGCATCCCTATAGGCCCCCTTCAGATACTGGAAGGCTGCTATGAGGTCTCCACACAGCCTTCTCTTCTCCAGGCTGAACAGCCCCAACTTTCTCAGCTTATCTTCATACGGGAGGTGCTCCAGTCCCCTGATCAACCTCATGGCCCTCCTCTGGACTTCTTCCAACAGTTTCATGTCCTTTTGATGTTGAGGACACCAGAACTGCACACAATACTCCAAGTGAGGTCTCACAACAGCAGAGTAGAGGGCCAGGATCACCTCCTTCAACCTGCTGGTCACACTCCTTTTGATGCAGCCCAGGATATGGTTGGCTTTCTGGGCTGCAAGCCCACAGTGAAGCCGGCTCATGTTAAGCTTCTCACCAACCAACACCCCCAAGTCCTTCTCCACAGGGCTGCTCTGAATCTCTTCTCTGCCCAGCCTGTAGCTGTGCCTGGGATTGCTCCGACCCAGGTGTAGGACCTTGCACTGGTCATGGTTAAACTTCATAAGGTTGGCATCAGCCCACCTCACAAGCATGTCAAGGTCCCTCTGGATGGCATTGCTTCCCTCCAGCAGATCAACCGAACCACACAGCTTGGTGTTGCCGGCAAACTTGCTGAGGGCGCACCCAATCCCACTGTCCATGTCACTGAGAAAGATGATGAACAAGACCGGTCCCAACACCGATCCCTGAGGGACATCACTTGTTACTGGTCTCCAGCTGGACATTGAGCCATTGACCACAACTCTTTGCGTGCGACCATCCAGTCAGCTCTTTGTCCGTCCAGTGGTCCACCTATCAAATTGATGTCTCTCCAATTTAGAGACAAGGATGTCATGGGGGACAGTGTCGAACACTTTGCACAACTGTGCAGACACAAACTTTAAACAAAGGCTAAGAACCCTGCCTAAATGTGAAGGACTTCATTAGCAACAGTGAAAAGGCACTGCCTTGGTAGTGCAAGAGGAGATAATAGAGAATGCATAAGCAGCCTCTTGGTTTCGAGATTCTTAAGTCCGATCTCCAAGTTCCAGGAGAGCAGCACTTTTGCCAACAGAAATCCCCCACATTTCCAAGACTTCTCAGGTATTTATCTTACTTATTACTAAATCTCAACTTTCAATTTGTCTAAGCTGCTATATACGAATACAGCAACATTCAATATTCTAGTGTTTGTAAGAAAGAATAAAAGCCCCCAGAGAGTTGAGAGCAAGTTGGTCAAGAATATCTAAAGGCTAAAAATAAAAATGGTAAATAACATGCTGCAATAGTTTTTGAAGGTAGACACAACTATAGTGTTGTGCATAATATACTAATGAAGTGAATAAAACCCAGTAAAACATTCTAGTATGAGACTACAATTGACTGCTTGCCCATTGCTCCATCCTATCTATACTCAGACCACCACAGAAGGGAGGTTATTTGCACCCTCAGTTATACTGTGTAAAACCAAACTCTTACTGTTCTCACTGAACTTTGAGCAGTGTCTTAATATTAAATAAAAAAAAAAAACCCAAAAAATGTAACAGTTAAAAAGATAACTGTTGAATACAGTAATAAAAATGAAATACTAGAAGTTTTAAAAGTAATTTAAAAATTAGAGCAGGGTTAATGTACACTGAAGAACTACCAAGCCTTATCTGTAAATACTAACATATGAACTCATTTCTAGGTGCCTTCCTGTGTCTCTTTCAGCAAAGTTTATATCAAGTTGGAAATGCATTTGTATTTATGCACTTACACTAAAATATTTTAAAATAATCTTACCTATTTTATGTCTTACTAATTCGTCTGACAACAGGTGGCGTATTTTACTCTCCAATCCTTCAGAATTATCTGAAAATACATTCAAAACCCACAATTATAAGAATATACTATTCCTGACTTTTATTCACTCTACCCACTAGAAGCAACCGAAGGTAATACTAGCAGAAGTCCTTTTTCCTTTAACTATACATGAAACCCAGTGTAGATAAACAGTCGTGCAATTAGGTTTTAAGCAGTGTAAGTTTGAAAATTACATGAAACCTATACATTCAAGTAAATATTTCTCAGGCCCATGCCTCTCATAAAACAAACATTAACAAATTGTAACTACACATACCATTTTATTGCTCTTAGTGAAAGGTTACTCTGTTTTATACCACTCAAGTCTGACTTTAGAACAACCTTCTTATCAGAACACATACAAAACTAGGTCTTTGAAGAAAACACTGCATGAATGAGTAACATTCACAACTGGCTCTAAAACACTAATGAAAAGACTTCCTGTCCCTAAAGTTCATATTCATTATGACAATACGTACAACTTATGTAGGGGAACTTAAAAGGAAAAAAAGCAAAGTATTTTTAGGCAAACCAGCCATGATTCCATAAAGATGTACAATCTGGCCTGAAGTGATCAAGTAACATCACATGGCAACACACCAAACTGGTACAAACCAAGCCTAAAAATTGTATTCAAAGTACTCTGGAATGATAACTTCATCCTGGCAGGCCTAATGCCAAATCACATAGTACTTATACCTCCGAAGCTAACAAATGGTAAAGCCTGGATATCATGGATTTTGGTAGAGGTGACCAGAGCCATTACAATCTGTGTTTCTTACCCTGGACAAGCAGAGTACAATATTAAGAAATTACTAAACCATAAAATACAACTTATAAGAAGCTTATACACAAAATGAAAGAAAATAACAACTTTAAACATTACCTGAAGATGTATTATCCTCTTCACAATAGATTCTTCTAGAATCAAATTTATCACAATGTTCTAGAACAGGCCTGTTTCAAAGGTAAAAAAAATACACTGTTTGAATATGTTAAATGGCAAAGCAACATTACAGCACTACCAAAAATAGCAAATTTAAGGAATTTTTTTTTCAGCTCATGCGAGATGTTTTTATTCCTTCTAAACTTATCTGTACTGATTAGACACTGAAGCAAATGACTGCTAGTTAGGAGTCACAGGTCTGAAATTCATCAATTGCTTCTCTACTTGGTCATTAAGCAAAGTAGTGTTCACACCTTCCCTCTAAACAGGTTTCTTAAAAATCTTTTATCATATTCTTCTTTTTTCTCCCTTTGAGAAGGAACAGAGCTTCTCCTCTCCTCTGTAGCACTACCTTTCAAGCTATTTTCCACAGAACACGATTACGGAACTGCTTTAAAGAATAATTTGCATACCGTAAAGAAAGGACAATAAAACAGTCTGCAACTGTAGTTCATAGTATGCATTCTGACATAAAATTTTCCACATAAAATGACAATAATTAACATGTATGTAACTCCACCAAAGACTCCCTAGCAATCAAATCACTTCTAACAGGACCTCTCTTAGAACCTTAGCACTAGTATCCCTAACTTTTCTACCTTCCCCTATCTGAGGCTGTGCTTCACTGCTTTTAACATGCCAACGAGTTCATGGGTGATCCTCCAAAAGGTACATTTCAACGCTAGATTTGCAAAGCTGCACTATAAATATATCCAAGTCAGGAACAGGTTCACTAAATTAAAATTTTCAGTAGAATTACAACATAAGAATTTAATATATTCACAGATAACCACTCCTGTTTCCTTTGTTATGAAGTTCCCATCCCACAAAGGAGAAGGTATATGCATAGCTACATGCACAAAGAAGAGTCTGGATTGTATATGTATAAGCAGGATATAGATACAGTTCTATACCCTGCTTAACAGCAACTTTATTAGTACAGTAGTTATTTCTAGGAGCACTAGTATTTCTGTTCAAAAATGATGCACTAATGTGGAAGCAAGCCTCAAAGGAAAAAAAAATCCTCAAAGGCAAGTAACTTACTATGACTCCTTATTTATTAGTTTATTAACTGTATTAGCATGGTATTTAAACACCTAGTGCATGAATCACAATTCCTTTCTACTAGGTTCTTCAGTAGCAGAACACAAAACGCAGTAGTAGCACCAAACAGCTATTTTGTCTCAGTGGGGCAGAACTGAGATTAAATGCTAGTTTTACAGACAGCTCAGGAAATCACCTTTCATGACATGTAGGCTTCAGAGCTGCAATGGAATTTCTAGAAATGAAAAACGTATTATTATTACCTTTACTGTTACGTCGATTTTACTTACTAAAAGAAACCTGTATGTCAATAATATTATGTACTGAACAGACTCATGAAAAAAATATTAAAAAGCACTGCAAAGAGCAGCTAACAAAATCTCAGACTGGTTAAACAGGCTTACTCTTTTAATTACCAATCAGTAGTAAAGTTGATTCTTCAGAAATAAATATAGTTGAAGAGTTAAAACACTATTTTCTCTGTTTATAAACAAAGAAACACACCTGACAGTCAACCCACCACACACCACCCCCCCCCCCCCCCCACCACAAAACAAAAAACAACCCCACAAAAACAAAACAAAAACACAAACACTGCTCCACCAAAAAAAATAAAGAAAACAAGGAAAAATCAACAGCACCACCACCCTCCAACCCGCAGCCCCCTTCGGACTCCCATTACCCTGGCATGACGTGCTGTGGTATGGAATACCTCTTTGGTCAGTTGGGTCAGGTGTCCTGTCTCTGCTTCCTCCCCTCCCCTCCTCCCTGGCAGAGCATAGCCACAAGTCCTGGCCAAACCAAAACATCATTTTCAGCTTTTCCCAGCGAAAGTCAAAACACAGCCTGCACCAGCTACCGAAAAAATGACTGCCACTGCTAAACCCAGGACATGCGTGGTTTAACCCAACCAGACAGCTTGTACCACCCCCCCCTTCTTCCTCCCCCTACCCGGGGAGAGAGGAGAATCAAAAGAATGCAACTCCCACGGGTTGAGATAAGAACAGTTTAGTAACTAAGAAACACAACACCCCCACCAAAAAAAAAAAAAAAACAAAAAAAAAACACCCAGGACGATAACTCCCCCCCCACCCGACAAGCACCACCCATACCTCCTCCAACCCTGCGTCCAGCCCTCCGGTAACTCCCATTACCCTGGGCATGACGTGCTGTGGTATAAACCTCTTGGTCAGTTGGGTCAGGTGTCCTGTCCTGCTTCCTCCCCCCCCCACAGTGAAGTCATTCTACAGGTGGTGGGCTTGTGTGCACATCTGAGGGCTTTTTATTACTTTATTTCGCTTTGAACTGGATCTGCTACTCAAGTCTCAAAGGAACACACAAAAATTCCAGCACAAATTTCCTTATGTAGAAGCAGACACTAGATTTGGCACCCACCTTTGTGACTAGGATGTTGATCATACCATTTGATTTCCCTATTAGCTATTCAGTTTGGCGATTACTGCTTAGAAGTTAACAAGATGCATTTAATTATCTACCAAGTTATACCGCACTTGTAAGGAATTACATAAACAAACTTACTTTAGCCCGTGTTGTGCATAACGTTTCCTTTTGTTACTTTTTGTTTTCACATCTGATAACTTGTGGTATTCCCTTGTATTTTCCTGTACAGAAGAGCTGTCAGAATCCATTTGAGACTCACTGTCCTCAGGGCTTGAGCAAACACCTTCTCTGTTTCTGCACTGACTCCTTTTGGGCGTCTTCCCTGAAGACCTAGCTGACAGCAGTTCCTTTTCAGAATTCTTCACGCTGCCTACGACATGCTGTAGTGCTTTTGCAGGAGTTTTGTAATTTGCACCACCAATGGACTCCAACACCCGCAATATATTTTTAGGCTTTCCAGACTTAGCCAAGTTCTGAATCACAGAAGTCTCTAATTCCCGATGCAGGACTGAGGCAAACACCTCATCCAATTTTGCAGGCTCGCTTTCAAGCTCTTCTTCACTGGGTACACTGTGAGAAATCTCCTTTCTTTGTAACTGAGGCTTTTTATCACTACTTTTCTTGTCAGTTTTTTTAAGCTTCTTCCTCGGACTTCCTGCCAGTCTCTTAGCTACCGTATCCCCTGGCTGTTTCTCCTTAACAGATTGTTTCTTGTGAACTACATGCTGAGAAGCTTTTGAAGCTGACGGTACATTCCTGGAAGACTTGAGATTCTCTTTTGGAGATGAAGATCGCTCTTGCTGGTGCCCAGCTGAGGACATAAGTGAATCCTCACTTGGCATCACCATTGCTTTACATTGTTCTGCATCACATGCTTTTGTTTCCAGACCAGACTGTGACAACATAATTTTTTTGGCTTCTGGTTTCCAGGATGTGTCCTTTTCCTTGTTTGGAGAGCTTTGCTTAAGTGCATCCTTTTTAGTCTTTTCTGTCAACACACAAAACAGTTAGATATTAGTACCTTTGCTCATTAAACCTAAAGATATATGATTTAATAACTGAAGAGAAAAATAAACCAAAAAATAACAATTTTTTAAAAGCATCACAAAAGCAGATTTTTCCCTGATGTATAAAAGAAGGCTTTCTCTGAACTACAGTATATAAAAAAAACAAAACCAGAATTTTCAGTGTACTTCCCAGCAGACAAAAAACAGCAGAAACGTTACATTCAATCTGCTTTCCAGTTTTCAGTGTTTCCTGCTGCAAAACCCTTCACAAATAGTTCTTAAAAACTGATCACCACCAGTTCAAGCTTCCTTTCTACACAGAGAGGAGCAAAAGATTTTGGGTAGCTACCTTCTTTGCTCGTAAGATAAGACAACACTTATAACTTATCTTTTAATGTCTTAACAGAAAGAGATGGATAGGGGCTGAGGTGCGAAGACACTCTCTTTCACCACCTTCTACACACCAACACTTAACTGCAACTGAAACATCAATTAGGAAACCATTAATGTCTCTCATTGACTTTACCCTTATTTCCAAATAAACCACCACAAAAAGAGTCCAGCCATACAACCAGAAAGAAGCCTAAAGACCTGTTAAAATAACTTACCCATATGAGTAATGTTTTGCCTTTGAGATTTAAGAACCCTTCCTTCACTGTCAGAGATGGAATCTGATTCTGATGTTCCTTCTAATTCAGGCATTCTGACATCCAAATCATCCATTTTTCGTTTAGTACGTGCTTGAACCTGTACTTTTCTCGTCTTGCCTTTCTTATCCTTTGCCTTCTCCTTTTCCATACGAGTAATATTTTGCCTTTGAGATTTAAGAACTCTTCCTTCACTGTCAGAGACGGGATCTGATTCTGATGTTCCTTCTAATTCAGGCATTCTGACATCCAAATCATCCATTTTCTGTTTAGTACGTGCTCGAACCTGTACTTTTCTCGTCTTGCCTTTCTTATCCTTTGCCTTCTCCTTTTCCATACGAGTAATATTTTGCCTTTGAGATTTAACAACCCTTCCTTCACTGTCAGAGACGGGATCTGATTCTGATGTTCCTTCTAATTCAGGCATTCTGACATCCAAATCATCCATTTTCTGTTTAGTACGTGCTCGAACCTGTACTTTTCTCGTCTTGCCTTTCTTATCCTTTGCCTTCTCCTTTTCCATACGAGTAATATTTTGCCTTTGAGATTTAACAACTCTTCCTTTACTGTCAGAGATGGAACCTGATTCTGATATCCCTTTTAATTCATGCATTCCAACGTCCAAAACATCTGTTTTCTGTTTAGTAAGTGCTTCAACCTGTACTTTTCTCGTCTTGCCTTTCTTACCCTCTGCCTTCTCCTTTTCCATATGAGTAATGTTTTGCCTTTGAGATCTAAGAACCTTTCCTTCACTGTCAGAGATGAAATTTGATTCTGATGTTCCTTTCAACTGATGTACTCTGATGTCCAAATCATCCACTGTCTGTTTAGTAAGTGTTTCAACCTGTGCTTTTCTGTTGTTTTTCTTACCCTCTGTCATCTTTTCAGAGGGCTGAAACTTAGAAACAGGAGTTTCAGAACTAGCTTTTCTTGATTTTTTTTTCGTACAGGGTATTGACAAGAAAGAATTACAAGACACATAATGTGATTCATCAATGAAAAAATCACATTCATTTTCTATATCCTGATCTTTGACAGGAGGAGGTGATGGAGGTGATATTGAGGCTGAATACCTAAAGAGAGGAGGGACAAAGTATTCACATCATGTGGGGAGAAAAAAATGAATCAAAATCTCACAAATCTAAGATGATTCCAGAACACCAAAACATGCTACAAGATATTCCTCAGAAGGATTACTATAACGTTCATCATTCACTGCCCTTTAGCTTCCAAAGAGAACACAAGGCCTCCTTCTCCCTGCTTTGTGCTCATATGCATACCTCATTATTTCTCAGATGCTGGATAGTCCAGCTTCCTATCTAACTGATCAGATCCATATTAGCTTTGAAAAAGTCTGTTTGGTTAACTGCTGACTTAAGAATCATCTAAGGTTTTCCTGAATTCTCCAACCTACCTATCAAAACATCTCAGGCTCAATCTGAAACATTATTTAATAGCTACACACTATTTTACTGCCAGACAAAAGCAACAGCGCTGTTAAATCCTAACAGCACAGAATTCTGAAACAATTATTCAAACCCTTTCTCAAGAGGCATTTTTCAGCATGTTTTGGAATAGACCAATGTTTCTCCCAGACCATGTTTCCAGGTAAAAGGATTTTGCACCAGTACTCTGGACTGAGTTATTTTACTAGCAAATTACATTCCCTATTAAGCCTCAAAACAAACCTTTTTCCAAGTGCTTCTGTTGCTACAGCTGCTAAGACAACTGAAGAGAAAGGCTTCCTTTTCTGTACAGAAGACGCAGCAATACATTCTGTTCCATCCATGAGAACAACCTGCTCATCTCTTCCAGTCTGAGGTCCTCCCAGATTTTCAACTTCCATGTGGCTCTTAACTGCAGCAGGAGCATTTTGCCCATGAAAGTGTAATCTATGTATGAGAAACAGCATTCAAATATGCTATAAATTCTGAGTGCACAATTAAGCCTCATGTGGATGGACAGATGCTCTCATCTTCTCCTGCAGACAGCGTCTCACTTCTCAAGAGTGAGCTTCCATTTGGTAATTTGCTGGAACACAGGTTAGCTGTACTACTTTTCAGCATAGTAACAAGTATCTAAATGAGTAAGGCAACCTGAGGTCAGCCTGTGATTTGATCAAAGTGAAGGCTGCATAGCAAGAACAATTCCTAATTTTAGGAGAATGTGATTCAGAAACTGTCAGACTTCCTAGACTCCAGGTGCACTCTTTTCCAAATCTCACTCCATCAATGGGAGTCAATAGGATCTATTGGGATCAGTGTCAGTTCCCCTTTATGATCTAGCCTGGAGAGTCAGACCTCTAAGAAAAGCAGAACTGTGGCTAGGACCACTGACCACTCTAGCAGCTGGACTTCAGATTTTCCAGAGAGGAGGTAATGATCAAATTGAAGCTGTTCTACTTTGCTTAAAGCATCAGTATATTCAGAGTGAGAGGAACAATGACTGCCCATCTCTATTTTAACAGACTTTTTAACTGTCATAGGACTCACTGAAAAAAGTCTCGAGTACTTGAGAAGTTGACAATTTGGGGCACTTTCTGTGAAAAAGGAGTCCAAATCTGTTCTGACATGCTTCCTGTACTTGGGTCCTGCACTTCTGGGAATTAACCCTTATCACCAGAATATTTAATTAAAAAAAAAAAAAATCTGCTCTTTCTAAAACCAAAAATGAAAATTTTCTCAAAAGCTTGGAATTCTTTTTTTATTACCTCAAAATCCAAACATAAATAATTGAGACCACCATGTTAATTTACCCTGAGGTGGGAAAAACACACATGATACCACCACCACATTCAGATCTACTTACCTACGTGCTGGAGGACCTTTTGCTTCCTCCGGAAGCAGCAATCTAACTGGCCCATGATCATTCTCAGGGTCCAAAGACACGTCAGGACTTTTGGGTAGTGCTTCAACACCTTTCAATGTATCATTTATTTCTTCTTTAGACACTGGAGACTCTGGGGTTTTAGAATCAGCTACATAATCACATATTACAGGCTTCAGAGGTGATACATGTGACCGTCCTGCTATATAAATAAAATAGGTTTAATTCTTCTACTCAAAACCTTAAAAAGAGCCCCATGAAAGTTACCCAAAATAAAAAACTTAATTCAATAAGAGTGCTACCAACCTCTGCTGTTGACTGGTTTTAGTGGTGATGCAGGTAAGGACACTGCAGAATTAAAGGCTCTTTCTGTAGAGTTAGCTAACTCTCCTGTTGACTGCATAGTTGATTATGCATAATAAGACAAAGTAAAATATTTGATATAGCAACAGTGTTTTGACAGGTATATAAATTTCTACAAAACATAGTATCATTTCCTTCTCTTAATTCTTACTCATTTGAAGCACATTTCTATTTCTAACAGTTCCATTTTCTATCACTTAACACTTTCTAAAACTAACTGTAAATTTCAAACAGGTAAAACAGTGGGCAAGGTAACAATTATTTGCAGCTTTGAACAGACAACCTGCTAGCCCACAGACAACCTATTTACTCTTTTCACTAGAGTGAATTAATCTAAAAAATTTAATTCATCTTCATTAAGTCAGGCTGAGGTTTTGCAAAAATCAGTTTGAGATTATGCAGGATTCTAACATCAGACTGAAGTAAACAAACACCATTACAAAGGATGCCTGTTCTCAACACTGCTATTAATAGAATATCCTATTTTTATAAAACACTACTAGAATCAAAACATTTAAACTGAATATACAAACTAGATTATTGGCATAACTGTCAGACAGCACATGAACAAGACCTTTGGCTTTTCTCCTCTTTCAACAAAGTTAACAGGTATCTTTATCAGAAGTCCACAGGCTACAAGAACCATCTTTCGATTTTACTATTCAATGGATACCTAAGAACTGTGTCCATATATCTTGTAAAGCGCCTGAAACCAACCCCAAAGGAGTCCAAAACAGCCTTACCCACCACCAGTTAAAAGGCAGATGCTTCAACCTAAGACCATGAGAGATTTTAGTACCCTAGCAAAAAGCTGAAAAAGCTTTTATTAGCAAAAAAACCCAAGAAAATAAGCTATCAAATAAATCTAGTTATAGGATTTTACTATTATAGCACAACAAACTGAGAAAAAAGCATTACCAACAACTATTACAGAAGGTTAAATTATAGCCTATATACTAATTCAAGTGACACATAGAGCTTATTTATACAACACTCATACAGAACTAAACTTGTACCCAAGTAAAACTGTACCCAACAAAAGGTTCTGACCCTGCCTTAACTAACTTACCCCTGCAGCTGTGTTGTCATTTCTGACAACAGGAGTTGAGCAACGCGCTGGACTTGAAGAGGTAATTGTAAGATCATTGCCACAACCTATAACAAAAAACTATAAATAAGGGGCTCTTGGAGTTGTCAAGGTTTTACTTATTTCAACAAGTTCTTAAGGCCTGTTAAGGTCACACAAATGCAAACAAGAAAGAAACCAGCTACACAGGAAAATGATTACCTTTATAAGACAGCTATGACACAGTTTTAAGTGGCTGGGGAATGCTTTTTAAAGACAGTGAGACTTTATTTTTACTCATTTTATCTCTATTTTTTATTACTGTTATTTACTGACCATTAAATCTAATACAAGGAAGATTTATTTTATTTTTTTTAACCAGAAAATTAAACAAAACACCAAATCAAAGCTTACTTTCAAAACCATCCTGTATGAGTTTCAGTACATCTTGACCTGGTTCTACAGCTATCTTATTTCTAGAAAGAAGAGGGGGAAAAAAACCAAACATTTTTAATTAGAAATACTAAATGTTCCTATCCCAGCTGTAAAGTTCTTACTGCTTAATATTTTAGATTATTATTTCTATTAGTCCCAAATTTAACATATTTTACCTATCATTTCCATGCACAGATATCTGCAAAGAAACTTATCTAAATAACGATTCCAGGAGAAAAAGACCCACTGACACAGAATATAATGAAAATGAAGAAATCTCTCTACATAAAACACATAAGTACTGCAACAGTTCTCAGAAAAGTTTTGTGCTGGAGAGGGACTCTTCATCAGGGACTGTAGCAACAGGGCAAAGGGTAACAGGTTCAGACTTCAACAGAAGTTCAGGTTGGATATAAGGAAGAAGTTCTTTACTGTGAGGGTGGTGAGGCACTGGAATCGGTTGCCCAAAGAAGTGGTGAATGCTCCATTCCTGGCAGTGCTCAAGGCCAGGTTAGACAGAGCCTTGGGAGACATGGTCTAGGGTGAGGCACCACTGCTCATGGCAGGGGGGTTGGAACTAGATGATCTTAAGGTCCTTTCCAATTCTAACTATTCTATGATTCTGTGAATACAGATTCTCTCTTGAAATCATCTTTTGAAAAATCAGTCCTCAAGTCCTGTTGCCTGCAGTGACCCAGCCTCGGCATACCCAGAAATTAAATGTATAGGCATCCATCCCTTCATACAAGGAGTCACCTCTGCTTCTCTGTTATTCTGTGCACCTACAAAAGTTTCAGCAGCAAGAACTGGCTTGCAGTATCAAATCTGTAAGCAAGCAAACAACTCAGCTGCTTGGATTGCTATTTCAAACTTCCCCAGCACAAACAAAAATGGCAAAAGTGATGAACTAGCCAGAAAATGTTTATCAAAACAAAAATAACAACAGCAAAGCCATGGAGTATATCTCCATGATTATTATATGCCTTTAAAAACAGATAATTCGGTACATTTGGTAAGATCATTAAATGCATGTCTAAAACTGGATTCTGGTAACAAAAAGCTCACAGACTTAAGACATGCCTTTAGAGAAAGCTACAGCACTGCAAATACTCTTGCTTAACATTTATCAGCAAGGGCCAAATAAGCTAGAACTCTGTGCATGCTTCGTCTTTCTACCACCTAAAAAGGCAAAATGTTTGCACAGACTACTGTTTCTGTGCTCAGGCATCCTAGAGGGGCTAGCTTAGACATAGCTCCACCACAGTTTCCTTCTCCAGCAAAGAAATACAAAGGTAACCCTTGATATTTCATCCCCTCCCTGTACAATTTGCTCCTCTCACCACTAGAAAAATACAAGTTTAGGAAACATGTTATCAGCTTACTAACACACACTCAAGAGCTTCAATATTAAGCTCATGAAGAAAAATATCAGCATAGTTTTTCCAAGCAATTGTATCTAAGAATAAAATGTAAAATGCAAATTACCCTCTTCCATGGCAGAATCTTGTTCTGTACTCTCTTTTACAACAATCCTGTGAAGAAATAAGAATCCGTTTTTACTAAGCATGGTGACCACTGACAGAGAAACAAACAAATGACCACCTTCCCATTTCTCATATAAGTCAGTCTCAGGAATTCTTGATCCATCTGAATCTTGTAGGAGTTACTGCAACCCTCTTTTTTCTAGAACACCACAGCAGCCACAACCCCTGTAACAACTTCGAGAAATTCGACTTTTCTCAAGAACCATTTAAAGTCAGAGACACTTACAGAAGACTTACACAACAGAAACCACAAACAAACTAATGGCTAACATTTCTGTGACAACTACAGAAATAATCTTTTAAGTAAGGAAAAGGAATGAACTACCACAAAACAAGCTAGGACATAACCTTACAACATACCTGTTGCTCTGTGAGAATTTCTTACATGGAGATTCTTGCCCTGTGTTTACCACCAGCAAGACCAGGCTGACAGGCAAGGATAGCATGTCAGCTGTTCCATGGGAAAAGTAAATTAACTACTCCCAGCGCTTCTTTATGTACTTAAACCCCAAGTATCATTCAAACAGCAGACATGATTTCAGTCATCTATTACCATAACTAGAGGAGTAACAATGCACTATGTTATCGGTATTACTTTCCATGCCAACAAATTTAATTAACCCTACTTTGCTGTGGTAAGAGGCAAAGGCTGTAGAGGATAAAAACAGGAAGGGAGGGCAAGTCAAGAAAAATTAAAGTAAGCAGAGTGCAGTTTTTCAGCAACATGACAAGAAAACAGTGCAAAATTTCTAATTTTAGCTGAAAAACAAACATGACCTTTTATTTGTTTCTGTAAATTAGAACAGAGTGTATATGCAGTGTGGAGACCACCTAGTCCTAACACAACAGAATTTAGCATATTTTTCTAAGTTAGCCGTATTAGCATTACTCTAGGTCACACAGGAAAACGACTGATCAGAAGTCATCACTTCAGAAACACTCCAGACCCATACTCCACAGCAATCACTCAGGCTTAAACTTCTTTCTCTTGCAGCGGAGCACGGTACTACGAACCGGCAAGCAACCTTTCACGTAAGAAACTGAACAATTCCCGTAACAGATCTAAAAGAGCTTTTAACAGTTTATTTCTCATTATACTATACTACATATAGAACTTTTAAAACCTAAGCTCCGCGTGTATCTCTGACAGATAACTACAGGAGGAAGACGAGTACCTCTCCAGCATGTCTGGTCAAGTCACTGCTTCTTTTAACACGCTAACCCATGAAAGGAAGACCTCCAAGACGAGCAACAGGCGCAGCTGCACACAGCCCAAGGGAAACGGGGTCCCAACAGGCAAGCCCTCACAGCAGAAGTGTTTCTGCTAGCAACCGGGACCAAGAGGGAGAGCAGAGCACTCGCACCAGTCCACTTCCCTCTGGAGACGCCTTACCGCGCCGTGAGAAGCTGAAGGACGGCCCCTCCCGCCTCTCAGGAGCGCAGTAAGGAGAGGGCCGGGCCCCTACTTTTACGGAAGGGAACAGCCGCTGTCCCCGACACTCTTCTCCCCTTCCCGCCGCTGCGCCCCGCTCCCTCTCACCACGACATTCGCCGTCCGAGGCTGCTGCGACGAGGGCGAAGACATCTGGGCCGCGGGACCGGACCGCGCGTCCCCACACCACCTCCCGCCTCACATACACACGCATCACCCGCAGCCACCGGTTTCAAACCTCGGGCAGCTTAGCGCCGAATGCGAGCAGCGGCCACGCCCCCTCCCCCCTACCCCATTGGTCTGCGGCCGCTGGGAGCCAATGAGGGCGGTTATTTTTGGCGCGCGCGCGCACTAACACCCCAACCCCCCCTCTTCATGGACCGTTGCCTTGCTCTAAGAGGCGCCGGGAGCGGTCCCTACATAACACCTACAGGCGCCACAGGGTGATGTGCGTTTTCCTTAAAGCGTAGGTGAAAAACTCAACGAAAAGCAAAAACCGCTTGGGAACGTAACGTTGTCACACCTGCAAAAGACGGCCCGAAAATATAATCGTAAAATGACGCTTATCCGTGCACACTGGCAAGCAGTGTACTAAGTGCTGGCTTGTCATCGTGAGCCTTGCCAAGCAAGTACACGGGTACCAGTTTCATTAACACTCATCAGCAGAGTCTAAGTCTGTCATTTAAATAGAACCAGTAAAGAACACGTACAAAAACCTGCACTTCAGCCAAAATGGCGAACATGTAGCTGAGGGAAACCACACCCGCAGCGCCCCCCCCCCCCCCCCCAGAATCTTCCAGAAGCAGCAGATCACTGATTTGCCTTGTACTTCCAAGGTTTCCTGTCCGTCCAGGACTTAAGATGTCAGGTAAGGCACACAGTCCCAGGAAGTGGATGTGTTGAAGCATTTCTTTAAAAATGTCTTGCTAGGAGCTACAGGTCTGTGGGAGGTTTCTCAGCACTGGCTGACATATGGCTACATTGAAATAACCATACCTAGTTGTGTGGGGTTTGTTCATCAAAAGGTTTAAAGGGAAATATTGCTTGCTACACTCTAAGAAACTGTAACTGGAAACATATTCCTTTTTTGTAACTATTTGTGAGATACAAAGGGATCAGTTGTATTATTACACAAGATTATGAGAGGGAAAAGAAAGGGGCGGGAAAAAGACGATGAGGCGCGGCCGCGGACTTTCCCGCCGTTGCCGCTTTAAGGGGGGGTTAGGTAGGTTAAGGTTGTATCTTGTTACATGTACCATATAAGGGAGGGAGGTTGTGATAAGGCTGGTACCGGGCGTTTCTCGAAATCTCTGGAAAGTTCTCGACGATGAGACACCCCCCCCCCACCCCCACCCCCCCCCAGCACCAAAGGGAAGCAATAGAAAAGAGCCACGTCGGCATCCCAGCGAAAAGCAGCGGGATTGGCTGAAGCCTTGAACCGAAAAATGCAAAGGACAGCCTCCCAAAGACCCCGTGTGTGTGTCTTGGGCGAAGCTGGGGCTCCCTGGGGCTGCCCGGCACACCCAGCACTGTTTTTTTTTATCTGCCATCACTTGCTCAATTCAATAAATTTATAAATTTACGTTTTAAAACTAGATTGGCTCTCTCATTGATAACATAGTTATTTCTATTCATATTACAGGGGGAAGAGGGGGAAAGGAAGGAAGGGAAGAGGATGATAAATTATATAAAGTAACCATCAATATCTCAAGGATCCCATTGCAATTTACTATTAGCTACTTAAATTCATATTGAGTTTGACTGATTTCATAGCTACCACCATGGTGAAAAGGCAACGAAGCTATCACAATATTTTTTAAACCAAGAGCAAAGTTTGACATGGTTATTATTTCTTTTGACTCATTCTGTTTACTGGAAAACAATATCCCATGCTGAACTCTTCAGTAACACACCACCTGAAGTATGTGATACTCTTAAATATTTGTTTTTTCTTGTTAGTACTGATGATTTAACTTAGCGTGGACTAACTGGGAAAATAAGAATGGGCTTTTTGACCCAAGATACACCTATTTTAAGACAAATCTGTGAACACCTACATGCTTGTGTATGTTCCAATAGCATGTATGTTCACAGCACGTCCCTAATCAAGCTCATTGCCCTTTTTCAGCAGTTGATGACTGAAACTGATGTGGCCTATTGTGTACAAGGGGGTTGTCAAAATGTACAGGGGGGTTGTCAAAATGTACAGGGGGGTTGTCAAAATGTACGGGGGGGGTACTGCCTAAGTCATAGCTGGTTTAACGAGCCCAGCAGATGTCTTATCAGACAAATACCAGAACAAAACCTCCTAGTGAGGAGAATGGGGGTTGTACAAGGAGTACTGCTTAAATCATGGCTGGCTTGACAAGCCCAGCAGTTGCCTTATCAGACAGCACTAAGATAAGGCTTCCTAGCGAAGGGAATAGCCCATTAAACCAGCTAGACATGGACCAGACCCATCCAGCTCCTAAAGAGCATGCGTGAGGACCAGAGGTAAAAAGTTCAAGCCTGAGGAAGCCTCATTTACTTCATCTTGAAGACCCCTACCCACAAGAGGAAGACTACTTACTTCATCTGAAGACCCCTGCCCAAGACCACCAGGAGGCACTGCGCATGCGTGGAGAGCCTTTTAGCTCATTATAATACGAAGCGGGGATAGAATATGAATATGTATAGGCGTATTGTGCGACCTAATACCTATGTATGACTTTACAGGATAAATGTAAAAGGAAAACGGCACTGAGGCACGCGTGCCTTTTGGAGGACCAATCCCCCATGCGTCTTCAGCTGAATAAAGCATACCTACTTTACAACTTTAACCAAGTTGTGGAGTCTATTCCGCTATCAATTTGGCGAGCCAGGCAGGAGATCTCTGTTCGGCTGCAGGATCGGCGGAGGGGCGGACCTCCTAGGCGCCCCAGGCCACTTGCCTGGAGGGGCTCCACTCCTCGTCCGCTCACTGCGGGGACAGACAACAACCTGTGCCGGCTGCGGAGAAACGGTATGCTTGGAATTTAGGTTTGTAATTGTCCTAGGATTGGTAAAGGCCTGTAAGGCGTACGCGTGGCCGGGGCTGCTGGTAAGGCGCTCAGAGACGTCTGGCGCACAGCCTTGTTCCCCTTGGTAGGTAGGGCTTGCAAGCAAGGGACTCATCGACCGATAGAGCGGCCGCTAGCGACCCTGGTGGTGGGTCGGGTGAGTCTAGGGATTCGTCTGCTGATAGAGCAGCGGTTTGTATGGGACGAATCCAAAAGGAGCTCCGGGCTAAGGGAGCCCGCCGCTGTATCGAGCTCCAGGTCTCACTGAAGGGTGCAAATGGCATCTGGTGGTGAGTAAACTGGTGTAAGTGTGGGGGATCCCGAGTGCAAGTGGTTTGTGTTTGTGTGACTGAGACGTAGCGTAGCTACGAAGCGAGTGCGGAGTCCCGATCCGCGGTTCCGTGTTCTCCGCGAGGAGAGCGGCCGGAGACGGACGAAGTGTTTTTGTTTTGTGTTGTGTTTCGGCTCCCGATCCGCAGTTCCGTGTCCTCCGCGAGGAGAGCGGGCGGGGACGGACAAAGTGTCTTCTGTGTTGTGTCTAAATGTTTTGTGTGTGTATATGTCTGTCGTTGCTGTTAAAGATTACAGTGCTTAAGCGGTGGGGGAGCAGTAGACAAAAAGTAAACTGTTGCTACTGGGGGGGGTGTGTGTTAAGAAGAGTTCCCTCTGCGCCCCAGTGGCTGTATAACAGAAGTATAGCCTCTTGAGACCTGAACTTTACACTCGGTACCAGAGGCTTGTAGCCTCATATATGGGTGCATAATAACTTTTGAATAGTGGAACCTGCCGTGGATACTAGGACAGTGTAAATTTTGATGGAACCGAAACTGATCTAACAACAGGGGAGTTGATCTGCAGAGCCCAAAGGTATCATTTTACTGAACCCCCTGAGAATATCATAAAATTCGTGTGTAGGTGCTCTCATATTTTTTAAGTGCATTTGCAGAGCACTGGGAAAGAGAAGCTGCAGAGATTTGTAAAAGATTGTTTGAAACGGGAGCCGGTCAAAACAAGGGAATTCTGAAGAAAAGCCCATTGGGTTACATTTTGGCACACTGGAAAGAACTGGGAGGGTCTTCTGGGGTAAACAAGAAAACATTGATAAAATATTGTAACCAATGGTGGCCTTTATATGCTTTGGAAGATCAGGAGACATGGCCTAAAAATGGAACTCTGAATTATAATACATTGTTACAATGAATGTTGGTTTTGAGGTTGCCAGGAAAATGGGATTAAGTGCTGTATACAGATATGTTTTTCACTGTGGGAGATCACCCGGAGTGGCAGGCAGAATGTGAAATTAATATAGCTCTGCCAGATCCCTAATTCTGGCTCTGGAAAAGGACAAGGAAAAACTGGAAGCTAAGCTGGAGAGATGTTGTTCGGCCTGGGATATTGGGGAATGATGATTGAAAGTTATAAATGGGAAAATTATGTATCACATACCTCTGAGAGGAGCACCCTCTATATCTGTCCTATCAGATATTGATAAGGAGGAGGAGATTGCTGTCACCTGCGACAAGCAGCACATTCACATTCAGAGTTAAGAAAGGGTTAAACTGGAAGTGCTGCTGCAGCGGCAGGCATCTGAAACCTCTGCAGAGCAGGGGGAGCAACTGTGAGGGGAAAAAAAAAAAAAAAGGAAACCAAGTGGAAAGGAGGGGAGCTCGCGCAGCTCCCGTGTTTGAGCACGGGATGGGTGCTGGGGCAGGTAAACAAGTGGGAACAGACATGTTGACAGACGGGACTGAGGGGTTGTTGAATAGATGTGGACAGAAGTGCTTTGAAACTGACTGCCCTGGGGGGGGGAGAGAGTGCCATGGGGTGGCTCCGGTGGCTGAATTGGAACTAGACTGACAAGGGACCTAGGGAATCCTCCCTAGCAGATCCACTGGTTACATTAAAACTATGGACTAGAGGAAATAAAGTGGAATTTTTAGTAGACACTGGGGCAACATATTCGGCTTTGAATAAGGCATTGATACCTGTAGGAGGAGACTATGTTACTGTAAAAGGGGCAACTGGCCAAAGTGAAAAGGCATATTTTTGTAAGCCACTGAAATATCAATTGGGAAAGCAATGGGACATTCATAAATTTTTATATATGCCTAATGC